ATGCCCCCCCCCCCCGGTCACGGCTCCTTCCAGTCCGAACGCACCTTTGTTTATTTCCGGACACCGCGTGATCCAGTTCCAGCGGGCTCCTCCATTAATCCGGCTCCGATCGAGTTCCGAGATCAAGTCAAAACATCCTAAGCGGCATCAGGTGTTGCTGAAGATCGTGCAACTCACCGAAAAAAAAGGATGCTGTAGTAACATCCCGGATGTTACGGTTGTTAAAAAAATGTGCGACAACTCTTGGATGTTGCTATTAACACTCTGGCAGTTAACGTAGCATGATAGAATGTAAAAGTACACTGGGAAAAAAACACATTGGATGTAGAGTCCAGACTCCTAAAAACATCGACAAGAAAATATACTCTTGATTCAATCAGAATCCAGCTTAAATCAAGAACCAAGCCTCTTACTTTAAGCGGATTTTGTTTTAAATCAAGCAAAAATCCGATTGAATCAAGAATATTTTTTCTTGTCGCTGTTTTCAATAGTCTGGACTCTAGATCCAATGTGTTTTTTTTTTCCAGTGTAACATCCTAGGATGTTACTTTAACAGCCAGAATGGTAATGACAACATCAAAGAGTTGACGCACCTTTTTTTCTACATCCAGGATATTATTACAGCACCTCTTTTTTTCTGTGTACGCCGCCGTGATAGCGAAGAGAGCCGTGAGTGCAAAAATGGAGTTTTGAGAAAATGGGCTCACTATCGTCCGAGCGGTTTTTATTGAAAGAAGCTACCGTTTTTGTTTATTTCCGGACACCGCGTGATCTAGTTCCAGCGGGCTCCTCCATTAATCCGGCTCCGATCGTGTTCCGAGATCAAGTCAAAACATCCTAAGCGGCATCAGGTGTTGCTGAAGATTGTACAACTACGCCGCCGTGATATCGAAGAGAGCCGTACGTGGAAAAATGAAGTTTTTGAGAAATTGGGCTCACTAGCCTGAGCGGTAAATTTTATTGAGAGAAGCTAACGTTCTACGTCAAATCGTCACCGATCATCCGAAAGATTCACGGAAACTATTGAGATGGTGAAAAATCGACTAATTTTATTTCAACACGGGGAAAAAAGTGAAGTTGATTTAACATTCTGGATGTTAAAAGTGTGGGAGAACTTAAAAATAAAATGAATACCCGTGAAAAACTGAAATACCCGTTATAGCAGGTACTTAAGCTATGCCAATGTGTAAAACTAACTGCTAAGGCGGGTAATGCGGTATTTCATAAGTTCTCGCACACTTTTTTTACACCCAGAATGTTAAATCGACTTCACTTTTTTTCGGTGAATTTTATCGAAAAAGTACTATTTATTTTCATGTTAAGCTATTGTTAAGGAAGGCAGTCGTAATGTGCTATCTTTGGGATGTTTTCGTGGTTGCGTTTTGTACGCACAACGAATCCATTTTCTGGTTAGAAACCGGCGGCATTTTACTATTAACACTGTTTTCATCGGCTCTCTGGAGGAATAATGCTCCTTGCGTTTGTTTTGTCTGGAACTGCCTCATTTTTTTGCGCACTTTCGGCTTTTCCGCATGTCTTGTTATCATACAAACAAGACAAATTTTGCTGTTTTAGCTACTTCAGTCATTTCATTCAAAAGAGAATAAATGAATTCTGAAGGATACTCGATTTCGAAACTTCAAGAGATTGGTTCGTTCCTCCAATCGCGGCGTCAGAGCAATTCTTCGCTCATGTTTCATTTGTTACAGAGAAAACTAACTTAACGGAATCACCTGAAATATTCTTTGAATATCCTCCTCTCATTTCAAAACAGTAACAGAAAAATGCAATTTTTTTCTTTTCTCTCCCCTCCCCCCTTTTTTTTTCAATGAAACATTATGGGATATGCGCATTACGTGTCTTCAGCTCATAGACTTTGAGAATGGGACTGTTGAAGACCACAGTTATTACTAAAATTGTTCATTATAATATATGTGTTCAGGAAAAATATGTCTATTCTTCTACGGAGAGTTTTGATGAAAACACCTATGTGTATCACTTTAGGGGCACAGGGCTGGTGCTTACATGTCGATGGCTTCAATCATAAATGCTATTTAATATAAAAGGGAACTGGCCAACAGTTTCTCTCGACATTCTCATCAAGTGTATGTCCTCCTCATTTCCAGTGTGACACTGTTTGAAACAACAAATCAGTGTAACTTTTTTAAATTTTCTTGCATTCACCTCTGCATGAAGAATGGGCCTGTTGCAAACTTTTGCTAAAGCAAAACTAAGATTTGTTTCTTATAGATAATGCTTCAAAAATCAAGATGAGCGCATTGGCGAAGTCTGAAATGCACTTATAACTTCACAATCTGCGTAAAAAAATTGCGGTTTTTTGAGCTTCTCGCTTCAAAAACGATACTACGGCACAGGTGAACATTGAGATAGATGAGTCGTTCCATCATCGGCAATAATCATCATGGCCGACGCCAATCCGCCGAAACACGTTTGATGGGACGAGATATAACACCTGAACTGGATTAGACCGGATAACAATCGGTGTGTTAACGTTCATATTTTCCACGCCCGAATTGATTGACCTTGAACTCTCCTCGAATTACGCGCGGAACTGCGCGCAAGCGTCGGCCATGATGAATATCGCCGACGATGGAGCGACTCCTCTAACAAAATGTTCACCTGTGCAGTAGTATCGTTTTTGAAGCGGGAAGCTCAAAAAAACGCAAATTTCTTACCCAGATTGTGAAGTTATGAATGCATTTCAGACTTTCCCGATGCGCCCATCGTGATTTTTGAGGCATTATCTATAGGAAACAACTCTTATTTTTGCTCTAGCAAAAGTTGGCAACAGGCCCATTGCATGAAGATCAAAAGCATAATAGTTGACTCGATTTTCACTTTGTCTAAAATTGTATTGAAGCCGGAACTCTGGAAGTATCTAGGTTCTAGACAATGCCGGATTTAGGGGGAGGCCACATGGGCCGCGGCCCATGGCGGCAAATTTTGAAATTTTTTTAAATGTAGGTACCTATAAAAAAATCGGATTCAGAAAAAAAAATTCAAATGAGACAAGACGACAAAATCTCTCATTTCCTGAGAGTATTGTAATTTCTAATTTTGTTTTCTTTTGGTGATACAAGTGACAGCACCTTTAATTAGTCGAGTTAAGAGAGAAACCAAACGCGCTATTTGACCTGGAATGGCGCGTCGCAGAGAGGAATGATGACGAGGACTTGAGATGAAAAGGAGAAGCCCTTGACGCGGCGGTCGGCATGCATCACATATCAGCGCCTACAAGACTGCATGAATACTCCTCGCATTGCGTCAAACTTATTGTTAGTGCGGACAGCAGCGGTCGACATGAAACGCATAGCGCCTACAAGACTGTATGAATACCTCACGCATTGCGCTAAACACAGTGCGGTCCGCGCGGCGGAAGTTAAAATTATTATACCACATTTATGTTCAATCTTTCATAATTTTTCGTTCATTTCGTATAAATGGAAGGCCTTGTCTACACAGAGATAGGTCTTTGCGCAAAGTTCCTTGAATTTTTGCTAGCAGTGTTCATACGGTTTTTTCAAAAAAATGTGTCCAACGCACGAGTCAACGCGTCTTATGCACCCCCCTCCCTTCGACACGTTCTTTTGAAGGTTTTTATTGATGTTCTAAAACGAATGAGAAGGGGGCGGCAAAATACAGGCGGCCCATGGGCGGCAAGAAGGTAAATCCGCCCCTGATCTAGGATGGCTTTAGTCATCTGCGTATCGTTAAAAAAGGCAACTGGCTGTTTCCAGGAGCTCATTAAGCAACGAGCCATCAGAACTTGGACTTTTTCGACATCACCATAGACGTTGTCCGTTTGTCTACAATAGCAGTAAAGAGATTGTCAAGACTCATTTCGTCACTGGGTAGGATTCTCAGTTTCTCACCTAAGCTCATGGATTTACCTCTATGTCTCAGAAGTTCTAACACAATATCAATCACTCCTTCTTGCACGGTTACTTTTTGTGCCTGCACCGTCGCAATATCCTTATATGAGGCAAAGGATGACCCATTTGTATGTATGTATAAGCCGCTTTTACGGCACGCTAGGGCGCTCTGCGACGCCTACTCTCTACAGGAATCTGTCATGGTAGAGATCCTCCGGAAGCTGGCATCTCTCCATCTTTTCACGGATGCCCTCTACCCACCATTTGGCTGGACGGACGCCCTCTCCGTCGCCTACCTGGGGGGACCCACTCCAACACCTTCTTCGGCAACCTGGTATCAGCCATTCTCTGCACATGCCCATACCATACCAATTGCTTGGTCATGATATCGTGCACAATCGTCCTCTCAACGCCCATTATCTCTCGGACACGTTCATTTCTGACACGTTCTCTCCCCGAGATTCCAGCCGATCTTCGCCAGAAATCCATCTCGGTCGCCTTGAGCATTTCTTGGGTCCGCTTCTTCAACTGCCACACTTCACTGCCATAGGTGATAATAGGCTTGACAACAGAGTTATAAATCCTCTTCTTGTTATCTTTGGAAATCCTTTGGGAATGACCTATTTTATATTTTAAATAACGATATGCCTTAATACTGACACAGCGCAAAGAGATAACACTTGCAATGTCCTCTGCGGACCATCTCATACGACTGAAGGTTTTATCAGCTTTCGAACGTTTTTGCCCTTCTGTGAAATATTTATTGATAGATAGATCCGGCCCTGTCTCCAAATAATGTAATACCACGCAAGCTATAGTTACTGTCATTAATTTTCGGAATTATCTTGCAACATTGAGAACAGCTGATTTGAATAATTCCAAGCCAATAGTCTCCTCTACTATTGGGGGTTTCCCCCTCTCACGGTTCACTTGAAAAATCGATTAAATAATGTGAAAATTAACAGGTTACCCACATAATTATTATGTTTCTAGTTTTGCTCCTGATCTAAATTATAAGTGTTATACCGGAGGTACACAGACATATGCGGACTGTATTTGGCTCACGGTAAACAATGTTAAATATGTATTTTTTAAAATTCGTAATTAATCGGAGTAAATTTAATTTTCACTTCTCCCTCGATGGCTGCTTGAATTCATGGTGTTACTATGGAATCAACATCGTTACTCGTTGAAATGCTTTTTCACCTGTTGATTCTTACAAACCTGTGTAATTATTTTGACCGCAATTTAGGGAATATAAAGAGCAATGACAGAATTTTACGTGTTTGTTTAATGGGAAAGCTTTCCTATATGTGTGAAAATTTCTACCAGGCGCTACTTGCGCATAAAAGTTTTAAATTTTCGATGCAATTATTACAATTTGTAGGCATCGGGGCGTAATCTCTTCCCAAGCAGGCCTCACCTTGTGCAGTGGAAACAATGATGTGTTAAAAAATCAAAAAATAATAATTTCAATACAGGCATTATCTATACATACAATCCAATTTCACACTTTCTTTTTTTTCTAGAGATTCAATCTCAAGAAAATTTGTGGTGAAGATCCGAAATTCTCGATTATTATCTGCAGCGGGTCTGCACTCTGAAATGGAACAGATACTGAAAATACCGAGATCAACAAAATTAGAAAATAGGGAAATCGCGAAGATGGAGAAAGACAGTTGAGTCGACGTGATAGCTCGACGAAACAACAATTAAGGAGCCTTGAACGATGGGTCGAGGCCATAAAAGAGTGAAGAAAAAAAGCAAGTAATTAAGTGAGTAAGTAAGTATAATTTACTATATGTACTTAGTTGTCCGGATAAAAAAAAATTATCAAACTGAAGCCACCGAATCACCTGCATTCTGGCTATGCATTTCCACCGAATATGCACGTACAGAGTCTGCACATGTTAGACCCCGTTGGCGAAATTACCCAGTCCGGAAACTGAACAACTTTTTCGCCCAGTCCGCGAACTGGCTGATGTTCTTGCCCATTTTGTGAACTAGGCAGCCAGTCCACGCACTGGCCGGTCAATAGTCTAAAAATAACGCTAATAATTTCGCGAATTTTAGGTGCAATCTATACTTTAATCGACGAATGTCCTCCACTAACCGACTTCTGACGATTCGCGAGATTTTGAACGTTTGCAAGTATCACAACAATTCGAGGTTTCACTGGTCAATTTAAGGTTCACGACCTTGATTCACGTTTTTAGTTTTTGATGGAAAATTATTGTCGATTGAAACTGTCATATCTTTGAGATGATTTGTCACTTTATTTCTCGGTTACCGAAAAAAAGAAATATAAAATGGACGTATTTTTATCAAACAGACCTTTGCGGAGGTGAGATATATGGGGTGTGCTCGTCGAAGCTGCTTAAGAAACAATGTAAAAGTGGACGTGATTCCTTTTGAAGAATTGGAAAAGCGGGATTTTACATTCTACCGAACAGACCTATGTGCTAACTGAATGCGGGATTCATGAGCCGCGGGCATGGGACGAGAGCGTTAGGGACAGGGCTCATGAGTTCATGCGGAGGCGGGCGAACGGGGGCAACCGCGGCGGGTGGCTTCGTTGCTGCTGACGTCACTGGCGCTTTATTATTCTCATTCACTCTTACGCCAAGAGAACTAACGAGCACACCCTATATTTCTCACCTCCACATAGGTCTGTTTCGTAGAAATACGTCCAAGTGTCGATCGAATCCACACCCTCAGTGCTCTTTCCATCATTACATTCCCATGTGTTCGACAGGAAGTGTCTGGGATCTGGGGGTGCCTCGATGGCGCTAGTGCCGTACACGGCCGGCCCGAGTGGCAGCGGGGGCGCGGAGGCCTCTGGGCGACGCCCGTCGTTCCTGGACATGGAGTTCCCGCGGCTTCTGCGGGGGTCTTTGAGCCGACTCATCTGGTCTTCCGGGCTCCAGAAATCCCTGAGCTCCTTCTCGAGTCTCTTCTCTCCGCCGCCCGGCTACCGTTGCCGAGTCTGCCGCGCCGTCTTCCACGACCTCTTCTCCTTCGAGAGCCACCTCATCTACGCCCACGCCGACGAGCCCGCCTACCTCTGCAAACTCTGCGGCGACACCTTTGCCGTCAAGCGAGACCTCGCCGTCCATCTCCTACGGGATCACGTCGACGCTAATAGGTAGGATCTTTCACGAATCTACTCAGGCTCCCTTTAAAAATTGTCAGGGATTTTCCTGAATTAGTACGTTGCAAATTTTACATATCTGAAGTAGATCTGTGGACAAGGTATTAGATCAAAGCACTATGGTACATGTGTCCGTAGAAATTTTGTATAATTACCCTGCATTGAAATTTTTGTTGGATGCGGAACCCTACTTAGCAACACTCACTGGAAAAAAACACATTGGATCTAGAGTTCAGACTCTTGAAAACATTGACAAGAAAAAATGCTCTTCATTCAATCGGATTTTTGCTTGAATTAAACGAAATCCGCTTAAATTAAGTGGCTTGGTTCTTGATTTAAGCTAGATTCTGATTGAATCAAGAGTACTTTTTCTTGTCTATGTTTTTAAGAGTCTGGACTCTAGATCCAATCTGTTTTTTTCCAGTGTTCTGTGCTTTATGCGGCAATAATCTGCGGGGTTTTGCAGTGATACCAGGGACATTGAGAGAAACAAGGAGTATATCTCACAGTACTCCCCATTTTCGGTCGATTTAACCAAAAATTTGGTTGATCGACCAACTCTTCTTATTAGTTCGACCGGAAAAAATTAAATCCAAGTAACCAGAAGTGAATACCCATAAATATGGACATTTCTAACTGCCACGCCGTTTTTTCTTTCTTTTTTTTTTCCTTGCACGACCCTTCGAGGTAGGAACTTGAAATTTTTATAGTGCTCCAAGAACAAAGAAAACTCCCAAAACTTTATTATAAGATGAGGGAGCTATTTCCGCACAAGTCACGTAATTAAAATGTAAAACAAATTATTAACTCACTTACGACGAATTTTGCTTTTGGCGGCACTTAAAACTTCAGCTACAACGGTTTTGGCTACAACGGTGGTGCTGGACTTCAGTATTACCCTGTATATTATCTCAAGACTTTACAGGGACCACCTAGACAAGGGCACGAACGTTAGGGGTTTTAGCCAAAACGGTGGTGCTGGACTTCAGTATTACCCTGTATATTATCTCAAGACTTTAAAGGGACCACCCACACAAGGGGCAAGAACGTTAGGGGTTTTAGCTACAACTGTGGTGCTGGACTTCAGTATTACCCTGTATACATATTATCGCAAAACTATAAAGGGACCATCCTGACAAGGGGCAAGAACGTTAGGGGTTTTAGCTACAACGGTGGTGCTGGACTTCAGTATTACCCTGTATATTATCGCAAAACTATGAAGGGACCACCCTGACAAGGGGGAAGAACGTTAGGGGTTTTAGCTACAACGGTGGTGCTGGACTTCAGTACTACCCTGTGTATTATCTGTGTTGACAGCTACGAGTGCTCGGTGTGCGACGACTCGTTCCACTCGGGGCGCTCGCTCCGGCGGCACATGGCCCGGCACTCGCGGTCGGGGAGCAAGTCGTACGGGTGCGCCCTCTGCGACGCCATGTTCCCGGACCGGCGGAGCCTCCGCAAGCACATGCGGGAGCACCAGTCGGCCGGCCTCGCCCCGGTCGGGTTCTTCACCACCAAACGCACCTACAAGTGCGACATCTGTCGGGCCAAGTTCGGGGGCAACGCCGCCCTCCAAGCCCACATCCTCACGCACCTCCTCCGCGAGCCGCTCAAATGCCACGTCTGTGATAGCTACTTCCGTCATCGCGAGAACTACGAACGGCACATGACCTCTCACTCTCACGATCAGGTGAGTTTGTTAATTGGTTTATAGCGGCATACACTGAAAAAGAACTCCGGCTGTATGGAAGCCGCACTTACATGCAGGCGATAGACATATCGTCCGTTCCGGGCCGACAATTCCGGGTGCTGGAGCCGTGGTTCGACCGGGCCGGGTGTGAAGACCGAAGTAACGGGTGCTGCAATTGGAATTTGTGGTCTCAGAGCTCGAAACGGACGGTATGTCTACATAGCCTGTAAGCACGGCCTCCATGGCCGGATTGTTTTTCGGTGTAGAATAATGACCAACCGAGAACGGAACAGTGGGTTTTTTCCGTGTAATATCGCATATGATCAATTTTTTTAAGCTATTTTCGAACTGCCCTTACGGAAAATCTGAAACCGCACGTAGGAGGAAGGGGTGAAAATTGTACAACAGAAAACAGCGCACTTACTATGAACAGCACAAATTGTACTAGAGTTCTACTTTGTTGGCTCTTGCTGGTTGACATTCTCCCATAAAGGGACTCCAGCGTGAATCTCCATTGTACTTGAGGGGGCCATCCCTCAATCACGGAATGCTAAATTTCCGGCTTTCTGACACACCCCCATCCCCGTGTAACGTTCCGTAACGTTGTGCTACACGCCTCAAAAAACCTCCGTAACGCTGCCCGGAGATCCCTCTCCCCCCACATTTATAAAAAGTGCTGTAAATATCACCTTAGATGTTATTGAACTGATTAGCGTGTCTATTTAGTGAGGAAAAATGAAAGTATTGCAGAGAATATTTTCGAGGTTATTAAAAACTTCTAAAAAAGACCGACGAAAATTTAATAGAAACTCGAATAAAATTACTGTAACTCGTCACGTAACGCTTTTCTCTATACTTACCACCCACTTGTAACTCCGTAAGGTTTCCGAAGACCCACCCACCTCCCCTTGTAGCGTTACGTAGTTTAAGGACGGCCCCTGAAGAAGAGAATCTCCAGTTTTTTGATTAATCGCAGATGAGATACCTACATTCCTCATATACTGGTTTGCAATCGACTGAAAAGATGTTTTTTTCTGCTCACTTAGATGCTGAAATGCAGCAAGTGCGACTCGTTCTTCAGCGGGGAGCGGGAGCTGAAGTCTCACTCGACGTGCCACGCGGGAGACGAGGGATCCGAGTGTTTCCAGTGCGGAGTCTGTTCCTCCTCCTTCGAGGATCGCGATCGCCTCGAAACTCACATGTCAGTTCACTCCGCGCCCAAATCCCACGAGTGCCCCGAGTGTCAGGAATCCTTCCATCGCCTGGAGGATCTCAAGAACCACATGCTCAACCACGCCCGACCGGACGAGAACCGCACGCTCAACCGATCCACACAGGACAAGAATCACACGCCAGACCACTCGGTGCCAGACGTGACCTTTGAGTGCAGCCGTTGCGACGCTACCTTCAAGAAACGCTCCAGTCTCCGCACCCACATTATCATTTGCCATGCCAAACGTTTGCTTTAAGCTCAATGTCAGTATACAAACGCAAATTTCACTTTACTTCAGCATTTTTTTTTGTTTTTTTTTTGTTTTTTTTTTGCATTCTTACCGAGAAATAAAACTTCGCGCATCACATTTTCTAGGATTGTCGTATCTATATTAGTGCTTCAATTGACAATATATTTCACAGGAGTCTCCCCCAAAGTAGAGTATCTTATATTAGAGCACCTTCATTGGGAGAGTATGGACACGCCGATCTACGTAGCTCTTAGGGCCCCTAGGGTATGGCCCTAAGAAAGAGATGGTGAAAATTTTTCTCAGATTTTTTTTTGCTCCCGTCCCCTAAACTTGATCCAATGTATATCAAAAAAGGGTCCTTGCACAATTTGAGCCCAATCGGTTAATATTAACACGTGCCCCAAGCACCACTTTTTTATCAGAAATCGAGATAATCGGCAAAAAATGTACAAAATTGCCCCTAACTCGAAAAATACGGTTCTTACCAAAAAATGCATAGAGTAAAGAAATGTTGCAATTTTACTTTTCTACGGAAAGATCCTGAACATTTTTACTCTTAGACCAGTCATTCTGCCACAATATGTGGAACGTTATGGCTACCGCCAGACAACTCTGAAATCTTTCATCTGATGCTAGATGCTATGCGATGCAACGGCGTCAGATCCCACTATTTACTCCGAAATAACCCTATCTTCCAATACACTATTTTTATCAGAAAAAGAGGGCAAAAATGAGCGTATCAAAACAAATTAAATAACAAGCACTCGAACCAATGCAAGAGAGATCTATTAACAAAGGATTGAATGTAACAACATCGGTGATTAAATCTAGGCTATGTTATGTACCCTTTAATTTTATATAATTTGAAACTTTAGTCAATTTACATACTTAAAATTTACGACATTTAGGAGGTTGTAATTTTACGTACAGTCGATTTAGTTGAATTTCATTTTCAGTGCGAAGTTGAAAATCCCTGTTCCATCGTCCTTTTCGTTACCTTACAAAACCTCTTTCTGTACTCCGCAATTTCCGAGTAATTGCGAGTCTCTCTTCTTCACCCTTGGTCAAAAGTTTCTCATATTCATCTATCAGTTTTATAGCTTTTTCAGAACAGTCGTTGACTACTTTAATCTTTCTGATATCGTGTCATGTTTCAGTGATGGTGCCTAAAAAATCGGTGGACAAATTGAATGCCATGATGTATCTAGTTTTGGTCCAAATTCTAATGAGCTTATGAGTTCAATGAAGTTCCTCAAGTACTTTCCTACTTGATCATATGCTTTCTTATTTTTCAAAGAAAAAACCAGAGTTGGTGATGTAGATGTCATCAATTTGAACCATCAAAACACATGCCGCAACAGCCAGGCTGTTGTTCGGACATTCTTATCAAAACCCTTCTTTTCTACAAGAAACTCCAATGCTGCAGCTACTTGCGAGTTAAAGATCCAGTAAGCCTGGTGCACGTTCATCTTATCAAAATGGCTCGGTTTTAGGGATTTCCGTTTCAATTTGTGGCAAATTTCAAGTTCTTTATTAGCTTGGTAGTCTCTTAAATGTTTCAGATGCTTCTTTTTAGCTTTACGTGTAGGAATGTCATTAGCGGTTGCTATTTCCTGACTGAATGCTATTCTACCATGTGTCAAAAGCATGTCTATAGAAGTTTTGAATAGATGAGGAACATCGGCTGTAAAAAATAATTTTCGGTTGCCATCTACAGGATGTGGAATACTGTTCTGGACGATTTATTTTTTAACGTCTTCTAGAATGTTCTCAAATTTTGTTTAATCACTTCTCTTGTGCACCCAATATCAAATGCGCTCCGTTTATGGATCCTTGGTCACTTGTAACTGCTCTCACTTTCCATTTGATCTATTCACGCAATTGAAAAAGCTTTAACATTATATGTCTTTCAGCACTCTTCCCTCAAAGGAATCGTTGGTATAAAAATAAGCCAATGTTTGCTCCCTACGACTTTTCACTACTTTGCTCCACTTTTTTACATCCTTTGTTGGCCGCAGCAGTGGAATATTGACATTACAATTAATTGTTGTAAAGCACGTATCTTGCGGAAGAATGCACATTTATGAACTTTCTTGGCCATTTGACTATTAACACGAGATTATAAACTTTGGAAACGTAAACTAACAAAAAATGAGTCGTATCAAAAACTCTAACTATCAAATTACCATGATTTTAACAAAAAAAGACTTCGGATTTCGGGAGCCTATAACTGCTCCCATCTTCAGCGGGTGGCGAATCAGGCCTGTCAGGCTTTAGTTCTTGGCCATCCTGGTTTGATATTGGAATCAGAAGATAGGCATTTTCATTTTTTGTGTATAAGGTTGCCTAACCTTTCCGATCCCAAGAGGTCCATTTTTTGACATTTCCGTACATCCTACATAGTTACCCTAGAGTATGAACTATCGATCAACATCGTGAAATTGGAGTTTTTCCACCTTTCCGACCCTAAGGGCTCCATTTTTTGACATTTCCGTACTCTTCCTACATAGGTACCCTAGAGTATGAACTATCGATCAACATCGTAAAATTGGAGTTTTTCCACCTTTCCGACCCTAAGAGCTCCATTTTTTGACATTTCCGCACTCTTCCTACACAGGTACCCTAGAGTATGAACTATCGATCAACATCGTAAAATTGGAGTTTTTCCACCTTTCCGGCCCTAAGAGCTCCATTTTTTGACATTTCCGCACTCTTCCTACACAGGTACCCTAGAGTATGAACTATCGACCAACATCGTAAAATTGGAGTTTCTCCAAACTTCATTTTTTCGATTTATTGCCTTTTAAATCGGACCATGCCGTTCCTCCGGACCATCCAACCGTCCAAGCGCGTAAGTAAGTAATCAGCCATCGGGAGCGTTCGTGCGCTTGTGCGTTCATGCGTTGCTGCAAGGTGCCGAGTTCCGAGTGGGGGTTGGCCCAGTGCCCAACCGCATCCAGCGATAGAGCCACCCCCCTCCCCCCTCTTTGGCCCCCTAGCCACCCCTCCCCATCACGCTCCCAACGTCTCAAGCAAGCTCCGCGCTTATGACAAAGCACACGCTCGCACAAACGCAAAAACGCACATGACGCTTTGCTGTGCTAAGGTTTTTTGCACTCTTTATTTTATTTTCATTTTTTAATGATTCCAATATTCTCTTCTCATCGAATGAGTAACCAAAGCAGTGAAATTTTTTTTTCATAAAATGAAAGAAAAAGAGAAAAGAAAAATACGTGTCATGAATGGAAAAGTACTGTTCGCAATGTTGTTGTCGTTGTTCGATGCTTATATATAAACTTTCACTCACGACGCCATTAAGACTTTTCGCCTTATGAAGTTTATCAAAACACAATTACTGCACCACCCACTCATTAAATAATTTCGGAAATGAAAATGACCTAGCAACTAACATAATATCTGGAGGGAAGTAGGTTTTCTGTGTATAGTTAGAAATACAGAATTTTGACCCCCTTTTTTTAAGGATGGAGAGGAGAATATTATTCTAGTCGAATGAAGAATCCACAAGGGCTCGTTTTCCTCTTACACAAAGAAAAAAGTTTCAAAAGTGTTATGACACAAACAACCGAGAAAATTGGACTTCCATCAAAACTCATGAATTCATTTAAAGATCAATTTTGTTAATTACCTTTAAATAATTCCGAGCAATTTTTAAGTCGGGGCTTTTTTGGAAGAAATGTCGGTAAAGTTCTTCCTAGGCTTAGCCAGTGCTCTTTGGCTTAAGAATCAGACCCCAAATAACTCACGCGATATACGAACTCCCACCTACTCAAAGTATGGGTAATGGGTACTGAGCCACCTGCGACTCGCAATCGGATGTGAGTGACGTCATCAACGATGGAAATCGCCATACTGGCAACACAATCAGATATTCAGCTGCAATAATAGGCAACAATCTGGGAACATCGCGGCTATCGTAACGGATCCCTGCGTCCTCCGTTGGCATGTGACTCACTACGTCCAAAATAAAAGTTTACTCGACCCGCTGCCTCTGCTGCATGTGAATCAGTCGATTAGAACCTAATATCCTCGTTTTCTGGTGAGCCTTGGTATCCATTTGTTTTCATAAGTCTCGAGTCTCATCAGAAAGTAAAATTGTGAGGTTTCCAAATAGCCTGTTTCATATCGGGTGAGCATTTTCTAGAATCGCCTGCACCGAGCGAGACATAAACAAACTTCAATGTCTCATAACGTTCAATGTCTCCTTAGCTTAATTAGTTGTCCATTAGCCAATTGTTTCTAGAGCGCTGCGCGCTGATGCACGCTTCAAGTGAATATACATAGGACAAGCAGGCGTGGGTGGGTATAATCATGTTAGGAGGATCTTTTCTCGACTCAGGAAAAATTAGTCACCTTCGATGAAGTTCTAAAAATATGCCCGTCGGAGGGACTTGAGAAAAGAACAGGTGGTGGTAGGTACTTAGTCGAGCAGTAGAAATTACTCTTAAGTGACACTAGCCATAAACTGACCAAATTAATAAATAAATCGAATTGTAAAATAAAAAAAATGGCAGACGAGAGGATGATTACAACTTAATGTAATAGCAATTAATATTATAACTAAATTTTACGTTGCCTCCAAATGCTTCTGGTAGTGCATCTACGTATTCTAAGGCTGTTTTTTTTATAGAGTTCAATTGCCGACTGTTTTGCAGAAGTTGTACCGTTCGTTACAGAATTCAGACGAAAATTCGTGGATCTCCGGTTCTTTCTCGCCGTCAAATACGTTGAATATCCCGGTGTTCTGGGAGTTTCAAAATTTTTCGATACGTTTTAGTTACATCCGCTGAAATGGCAATGGAAAATTCTCGGAATCTGATCAAAATTGCTAAATAATTATCTTGAATTATTATTTATCGTAACATTTTATCTTGGTACATTCAGAAGGACGTTCTCATGCTAGAAGTATCTACCGCTAATTTGACTACCATCGATACTTTTTTCCTCTTTTCAAATCCCCATTCACGCCATTTTCACTGAATTTCTGACATGTTGGAGTATGAGGCCTGTAATACACTCGCTTGCAAAAGTCCAAAACTTTATCTTTCTTACAAATAACGTGTATTGCGAATTCTCTATTTTTAAAGCCTTAGATTTAAAATAAGTTTGGGAGTTCAAGGAAACTAATAACGATGTAATAATGAGCTTTAAATTTTAACACGTGTACCTAGTACCGACTAAAATTTATTGATCCGATCCGTAAATCATGTAAATTGTTTAATAATCGAAGTATTAAAGTGTCCTAAACATACCTCCTACGACAGAAATTCTTGTTTGCAAACGAAAACAAAGCCATAAAGCTGCTGGCTGCCTTGAGCATTATTTTAGCACACTTGCGAAAACGCAGCATACTGTAACGAGATAAACTAGTTCAAAAATATATTTAGGATCGAATATGAAACTAGCCTGCCTACCTTGCCAAAAACATACAGTATTAGGAGTGACAGTAAGTATAAACAACGTAATGCCCAATAAATTGTTCTTTTATTATTTCTCTCCAACGGCATTACGTTCAGTTGACACAAGCCAGTGAAATAATGTGCCGACCATACTTGTGCGTAATTCTTTGACATGTTGATAATTTTCATATTTGACTTGTTCTAATCCGCACCTCTTAAAACTCCGCGGAACCTATTTCAAGCGTCTTTAGAGAGTCAAATTATATCTCCTTAGGTATTAAATATTATACATATTACGGCCACGCGACCGTAAAACCACACTGGAAAAAAACACATTGGATCTAGAGTCCAGACTCTTGAAAACATTGACAAGAAAAAATACTCTTGATTCAATTAGATTTTAGCATAAATCAAAAGGAAATCCGCTTAAATTAAGAGGCTTGGTTCTTGATTTAAGCTTAAATCTGATTGAATCAGGAGTCCTTTTTCTTGTCGATGTTTTTAAGAGGCTGGACTCTAGATCCAATGTGTTATTTTTTTCCAGTGGAGAAATAAGTCGGATAATGACTGCAAGATCACGTTAGTTTCGTAACTGATGTTTTTTGAGTCGCTATTGTCGAATTTGATGTCAAATTGCCTACATATTAACACATTGACCTTAACTGTGGGCAACCTTATGGCACACTGCGGTGCGGCGTGCGTGTTAGCTCGAAACGCGCACTGACGCCTACAAACCTAAGTGGATACTTCAAGCGTTGCGCAATGCGTGAAGTATCCCGTTAGGTTTGTAGGCGTCATTGCGCTTTTCCTGCTGGCAGCACGCCGCGGCTCTCCCAGCGGGCGAGCGGTGAACGATTTCTTGTGGGGAGGGCTCCCTGGCGAAGAAACCCGTGTATCGTGTGGATTAATCAAAAGGAAATCCGTTCAAATTAAGAGGCTTGGTTCTTGATTTAAGCTTAAATCTGATCGAATCAAGAGTATTTTTTCTTCTCGATGTTTTTAAGAGTCTGGACTCTAGATCCAATGTGTTTTTTTTCCAGTGCACTACTTTCAAGTCAAACAAAGTTTGACATGAATGCATGAATTATATACTTCTCACTGTTTATGTGTCAAAATTCGGACTCTAAATATTCTTCCCTCTAAATGTCTTAAAATTCAAATGCTGTGACCTACCCCTAGTAGAATTCCTCGGTGTTACCTACATAATTCTCAAGTAGGCCAATAAATGGAGCCGTTGCTTGCACTCTCGTACTCAGAATCGTTACATTTTCCATTCAATAATTAATTTGCCGTCGAAAAGCGTTGCAGTGTCTGTAAAGCATCCAGACAGGCAATTCGCGAGAATCATAGCATTGAAATACAGTTTTTACATCATCGCTATGTTCAGTTTGTTTGCGGGAATGCCGTAGCTGGTTTGTAGGGATGTTTCTCAATTGGGTTTTTTCTTTCATCTGTTATTTAGCGTCTTCATGCCAGGGAATGCTCTTTACCCATGATTTGTAGACGTAATTTATTACTGCGCTTCGTCAATGGAGGCGCGAATTTCAAGATGGGTTTGCAAAATAGTTTTTTTTCTTCTTTTTTCTTCAAGCAAGCAGTTGCAAAATATTGGCTCAATTTGATTGTATCTTTTTATTAAGGTAGAGCCAAAATTCAGATATAATTCGCCTCAAACAGCTTTCGGACGCACCCATCTTTTCAGAATGAATTTGTTCAATTGGTAGAGAAACCATTTAAAGTTTTATATTCTAACAATGGTCAGGGAAAAATCCAATTTCAAGGAAATAAATAGAAATCTCTGCATATTCATATTTGATGTAGGTTATCAAAGTATTTAGATTTCGCATGCATCATTATGGACCATTAAGAAGGATACAAACTGAAGGCGGATAATGATTAGTATTTTCTAATCAGAATTTCACCAGAGCACGATTGAAGTATCATTAACTATAGACGCTTATCTTTCTTCATCCTCATCCTTTTTTCAAGGCAAACTTTAAGTTTATATATAGTGCAAAATACATTCACGATAAAACATTTTATATCTGATAGTCGTTATAAATAAATCAAAATTTTGAACTTCGGGGTGAAAATTTGGCGCCTTGGAGCGAAAGGAAAATTTAAGGAATCGTTAATAATGACGCGATGAAAGATAAAGCACCATCACCATTACGAATAGAAACACAACCGGAACCTGTTTCGTCTAAGTTGCCTTTTCAATTATTTTCCGTCACACTGCGCTTAAACATTCTTTACTCTGATAAAGAATATTCGTAAGTTATATCGACAACTCTAACTGACCGATGAGACTGCAATCGCAATGTGCAAAAGCATGTAGGTGCTTTGATACAACTATTCGAACTCCACGGACATGCTGGATGCATATTTGAAAATTTGAAGGCGCTTTCACTTTCCTAGCCCTCACGAAGATGCGCGACGCACCGCCGTTGCGCTGTAGTGTTGACGCGACACAATCTCTTTGGTCAAAATAATCAGCTAGTCGATTTTTGAATCGTTATCGAATGACCTTGATCGATAAACAGCATTGCCAATTTAGGGATTTATCCATCAACTTCATTCAGTAATGATTCATCAATCGACTTGTCTGAGCATCGCCGAAGCAAAATTACATCGATCTCTACATAAGTAGATAAATTAATATAATCAAGCCCTTTATTGTATTAATCTCTATTGGTATCAACTGATCAGCTGTATTTTAGTATTGTTCGACCGATGGCTTTACAAAACCTGGGTACGACAATTCATGTTCCATTGCTCACTCCATTGTTGTCTCATGGGGACGTTTTCACTGAATTTGTCCCAGAAATACTGTCTTTTACAAGGTCGGGAAATATATTGAGTTAGTGAGTATTTTCCTTGTACCAAGTATGGGCCTTTTACCCCTTGTAGAGGTCTCTCAGACCAACTGAAAGAGGGGAAAGAAATGACAGCAGATCGTGCGATATTTTGTTGCTTGATTGATTTTTAGTGTTTGTTTAATTTCGCAATTCATGTTCAATGGACCACCAGACAAGGTACAAATTTCAGCATTCTGATACATGTTCCTTAACGAAAATTTGACTTAAAACACGATGCGCTCAACGAAAATTACCGAAATTAATACCCTACGAAGATATTTAATGATTCTTAATGCGTGAATTCAAACTTTTCGCTCATGAAAACTCAATGATCTACGTGATTCACATCGAGCGCTAAACGTTATCATGACAGTCTCTGCGATATAAAAATCTGGCAACCTCAATCTTGACGCTTTGGCTCAGCTATAGCAAATTGCTAACAGTTTGAACACCACATGGTGGGAAATGAACTGCTCAATTGAGAAGCTTGCTGAAACCGTTGGAGTGCGTAATTTGACTCTTGTAGAGCTTCGAGTTTCTTTTGAGCGGGCAGTTTCAATTCTTTGTAACCCATGTGAAATAAAAACGTCAACATCTTCGTTAGAAGTTAGTTTCAGCAATTTTTGTTGCACGAATCGTGTTTTACGTGGAATTCTGGTTAAGAAACATTTATCAGAATGCTGAATTTGTACCTTTTCTAGTGGTCCATTTTTATCTCAATCCGTTAATCCCGGGTAAATGCTCGATGTTTACTACTCTATCTTTCCGCGCCAACTTGTCGTAGAATCATAATATCCCAGAAGTCTCATTCCCAAGATTCACACTTGGACGTATTTCTGTCAAACGGAACTAAGCGCCAATTCGAATTCCTCTTGAGGAATTTAGAATGCCGGATAGCGCGTTCTGTCAAATGGAACAAAGCGCCATGGAAAAGCATTGCGAGTATAGGACGGAACGAGCCCGACGCTCGATTCCGCCGCCAATCCAAGCCCCCCTCTACCCTCCTTCCCCTATGGCGCTTAGTTCCGTTTGACAGAAATAGGTCCACTTGAGACAAATCCCATCAAAATTTCCTGTGCAGACAAGGCCCAAGACTCGAGTGAAAAAAACAAGTTACCTGGAAAAAGAGACAGAAGCAGACCCATTGGTAGTAGCCGTAGGACTTCCTATCCTCGAGCTTGCCCTTGGAATTGTCGACGCCAGGGTACGGGACCTGAGTGCCGACCTTCTTCTTGAACGCCGAGCGGATCGTGTAGGTGGAGTGGATCCAGCAGTACGTGTTGAGCACGTCCTCGGGGATGTCCTTGGTGTGGACGCAGTCGATGGGGTTGCCCACGTACTGCCGCGTCGTGACGATCAGCGAGAACGCCACCAGGATCATCACCGTGATGCTGTAGTGGAGCCGGAACACGGGGCTGTCGATGTGCACGTGCGAGACTTTCACTAGGTTCTTCAAACCCCGGAACACGTCCAGCATTGCTATCGGCACGCACCACCTCGCCTAACCCATTCCTCCCTCGATTCTAACTCGATCCTTTCCCCCAATCTCGTCTACCTCCTCGACTTTTTAACCACCTTTATCAGTGTCTTATTCATTTATATTTAAAACTATTGCCCCTAAATTCAAGCTTGAATAACAGCTCCTTACTCTACTGGTCCAATTTTGTGATATTTACCTCACTGGTCAATCTAAATAGTTCTTAGTGTCTTATTCATTTATATTTAAAACTATCTCCCCTAAATTCGAGCTTGAATAACAGCTCCTTACTCTACTGGTCCAATTTTGTGATATTTACTTCACTGGTCAATATAAATAGTTCCAACCATCGAGTAATTGGATGTGTTCATGCATGTGATGTAATCTTTGCAGTTTGAATTCTAACGCACTTACTATCTCTACGCATGACTCTTTTTGAGGGTCAGTAACTTTTTAATGGCAGAAAATTCACATATTCTCTTAAAAGGCCTGCTTTAATCTTCGGGTTTTACTGGTGAATGAAGAGAACTTTTACCTACGGGTTTGTGTTGGTGAATGATTTTTTGAGAGATACGCCTCCTCTTTCCAATCGGTTGACTCGTGATTGGATAGCTCAGAGCGTGTGTATTCTCTCCTCAAATTTTTTAAGAAAAATCTATGTATTTAATGTATTTTACTAACACTTTTCTTTAAATGATATTGTTAAATGTTGAGCAAGCGGTGCAGTCAACAGCCTGGGTCATTATCATGTGCGGATAAGTTTTCAATCGTATTACATTATACGTAGATAAATGCACGCCCAACACATCGACACATTCTCCATTGTCTTCTTCACTCGTAACCGTAAAAAGATATTTTTTAATCACATCTTGAATCAAACACCGAAATTTCAGAACGAGATCAACCGACAAATCTCTGGTGCTGTACTCAGATCGAACACTCAATGCTTAGTCACTTTCTTTGAACACTCAACGAACCGCGCACTAAGAATTAAGACTTTTTTTTACTACTACGGTTGTAGTAAACCTAATATTTTGGTATAAAAAATAAATAAGCTCGATCGATTGTTCTTATCGGCCAGAAGCCGAATAACTTTGAGCATCATCCCATTTCAATATCGATGTGGACACTTTCTCTGGCGTTTAAACCTTTTCGTATAGGTGAGATCGAACAGCTCATCACCTCCTGCTAGGTATACGAATGGGGATTTCCTGAAATTGATGATTGAGATAGCGCGATCTACCAGATTGTACATTCTTCATAGAAATTTATAAATGAGCAATCGATTGAAAATGAACTTTACACCAGAATTTTGTATGAACACAAGGTGGCAGTGTGGATTTCAAAAATTATATATTCATAACGAGAATAACTCGATGATTATTTTGGATGGCACTCCGCGAATAGTCAGCGTAGACCTGTCGAGTACTTTAACTCGGTATTTTGGGGACAGCAAATGGCTTGTGAAATCCGTTTTCGATTTAAACTTGAATTTTCTACACATAATTTAGTTTCTTTCGATTTCCTTTCACGCCAGGCCGCTTACATCATCTTCAAATACATTTTGCATACCTGAAAGCAAGCAAAATACAAAGAGATTAAATTTTATCACCGAAAGTTTGAATTCAAGGTAATGTAACGCAAATAAATTCATAAAGCTACGGTACCGATGGATCATCAACAATTTACAAAAAACTGTCTAAGCGATTTCCTTCAAACTTGGCAAGAATGAAGCCAAGAACCGTCGGAGCATGTCTAAAACAATCAATAGTCTTAACAACTGTCTTGTTGCTTATAATTATCCTAAGTAATGAGAACATGGTAATTTTACTATAATTATTCTAAGAATGGGAACAGTGACCATTTTAATAATGGCAATAAAAATGAAGGATGGACGAAATATCTACAGTAACGTCTGTTGTAAAGTTTTGTGAGAGAACGTAAGTATGAGATTAAGTTAGCTATAACTATAAACTAGCGGTTTTCTCACATTTTGGACTACCACCATGACAAAGGGTTCAAACCTAAAAACGAACATTTTCACCATATTAAATCTAACCCCCAAGAGTATTTTAACCCAGAAATCTCTTAATCGAAACAAATGGACTTACATTACGCAGTTTTCGCACGACATGATTCAATTGAACTGTTGATCTACTCAAGGTCTATAAAAATCGTCATTTTTGTTATGCCATGTTAAGGGCCTCCTTCAACCTACCTTAATCATCTAGAAAGGCCTTCTGAAAGGAAGGAGCTGATTAAGGAACGACCAAAAATAAAACCTCGAGTTAGGAAGCTCGAAACAAAAATGAGAAGAAAACACAAAAGAAAATAGATGCCTCTTGACTAGCTTTATTTACATCACCTAATGAACCTGAAAATGGAAGCATCTTCCTCCATTTTTCTTTTTGGTAGTAATTAGACGGTCTATAATAACAGAGCCGAGCTCAGGTCTATTTTTTGGTCCCCCCGACTGGGCGCGGTTCATCTAATCCGAAACACATTTAATTCCTGGCGCTTGTCTCATATCGTCAAAGCGTTAAATAAGTGATAAATAAATCACGTGAAACGAACGGAGAGGAGTTTCCACTCATAAATTATGATTTAACGACGCTCTATTAATGGTCTAATTTATCTCGAAGATTCGCCCCAGCAGCGTGGCGGATGTTAATCGTACGCTTATTGGATGGGCGGAGAAGAGGTCGGAGTGGCCTATACCTCGTAAAAATATCAATGCGACATTACCCAGTCATCAACGCCGCAAGAGAAATGAGCCGGATAGTGTTGACACGACGAGGCTTGGTAACACCTTGACTTATTGGTTCGTAGCGCTTTACTACTCGTCAAAATGAAAATATGTGACACATCGTGGGAAAACACCCGTGGCTTCCCATGCGAATTTCATAGAGAGCGGAAACATATGTGATCAGAATCAAAAGCGTTGTTTTTCAATGTTGTGAAGTTGGCATTTAAGGTGATTCGATGAACGCTATATTTTGTGTCAAAACCACATGCGATATCGCATCGATTGGTTCCATTTTTTCAGCTCCTCGTCATTTTCCTCGAATTTTCAGATCGCATTTCTGTTGTCAGGGGACCAAAGATTTCCCTTACCAATTTTGACAAATTCAACTCATTAAAGGCGTGGTTATACTACCATGGCTTATAAAAATCACGCCTACACTGTTAAAAAATACGGAGTGAGACTCAGCACAAGCGCGAGTAAGAACGGGCCCTCACTTCGCCGGACCGAGGAGTCACTCCGACGGAGAATCGGCTGGACGGATTTTGGGTGCCGTACGCATAGAAATCACTCCGACGCCGGACGGATTCGCGGGAGCCGCAAATTTAGGGGTTCGCAGCTAGGGGATGGTGGAAAGGGGTTAATTGTGGAAATAATTTTTGAAACCATGAAAAATAAAAATAATGTAACCAATGATACGTGATTAAACCGATTTTGAAAGTTAGAAATTTCCTACCTACCTTGGGAATTGATCCCGGGACCTACCTAACACTAACCGACGACCCTACCGATTGAGCTATAGCGAACGATACATGCAAGTGACGCAAAAACGGTATTTAACGTCGACTTGAATGGGCCGCTAAGATATTTTCAATCTACCTGGATTTGTCCGCGTATTTAGTTTACTTTACTATATTTTATAACTATATTTTATCGTTTTACTTTGTTTTATTTCCTTGTTGTCTCTATTTTTTCTTCACTCTATTTTATTTTTTCAAGCACTTCATTTTTTTTTCTTTAATTATTTACTTCTCATTCCTTTATTTTGTTTTATATTCACTGTGATTTCTTTTAATACTTCATCATAATTTTTGGACTATACTTTACTCTTAAAATTCATTCTATTCTTTAACATCATTTAGTTGTTTCCCTTATTTTATTTTTTTCTTCATCTCCTTGCTCCCTCTAATTATTTACTTCAATTTAGTCTTTGACTTCATTTTATCATATATTTGATTTAGGTACTTTATTTTATTTCTTTTCTATTGTCCCTGTTATACCATAATTTCGACTATTCTATTATTTCCACTATTCTATTATTTTTTCTATTTTTTTCTCTTTAAATTTTTCATTTTCATTCTGAGAGTGGTAGGCTTAAAGGGGAGAAGAGACAGTATATAGCGCTAGTGCGAGGGAGAGAAGGTGCGCGTGACTCCGAGCCGTACTGCAGCTCCGGTGCGGAGTGCTTTGACTACACATGCAGCCCGTCTCAGCACCCACGCGCTGAGCCGCACTCCCGTGTTCATTCTCACTCCGGATTTTCCGTCGGACGGAATCAACGATTTTTAACAGTGTATATTACGTTGAATTTGTTTGTTAAAATTGGTAAGTGAATTCTTTACTCTCCTGACAACGGAAATGGGATCTGAAAATTCGAGAAAAATGACGAGTAGCTGAAAAATGGAACCAATCGATGCGATATATCGCATGTCGTTTTGACACAAAATATGGCGTCCATCGAATCACCTTAAGGTGATGGGAGAGTAATCGGAGTTGCCACGGTCAAGGAAAACCGTGAAATTTCTAGGAATTTTAAAAAGTCAGGGAAAACCTCGAAATGTCAGAGAAGATTATGAACGTGTCTGGGGAAAATTGCTGTGCGCCACCTTTAATCGCTTTTTAGAATGATATTGGCGTTTCGCACAACAAATTCTCCTAAAAACTATTTAAAATTGTGTCTTTTTAACAATTTGGCATAAAGTCAGATGTCAGAGAATTTTACCGAAACGTGTCGGGGAAGTCGCGGAATTGTCAGAAAATTTCATTTTCCTAATTCTGTTGCAACCTTGAATGTGTGTTGTGCTAAAGTTTACAGATTAGCGAAAATTAGGGACAACTTCTTGAAAGTGGAACTGATGGCAACGTGTACTGATTTTTAGTAAATTTTTGGTAAAGACGCAATCTTTTTATTTTTTGCCTCGCAGATAAAAGAATTTATGTGCAGTTGAAGATTAGATATTATTCAACATTAACTGTGTTTTATTTTTTGCCTCGTAGGTTAGATATAATTAGGTTCAGTTGAAGATTACATATTATTTAGCTTTGACAAGGAGTGGGGGGGAAAAATAATCACGTATACATATAAAGCCATTTGTTTTCATGAGCTTTTCTTTCCGATCACCCGCTGAACTGGCGGCCCACTTTATTGAGAATAATTGAACGCTATTCAATTTACTGGGAGTGGAAGGTGGTCAGTATACATATGTTCTGCGCAGAGCAGAGAACGATTCGGAATGTTTATCACTTTAAGTTGGAGCGCAGTTCACCCTCATCGAGCCCTTAACGATATCTGCAATGTCCTCACGGCCACAAAATGGGAACAATATTCGATCAAATTATGTGCTCACTCTCAGTCATTTAAGCAGATGAAATATCGGCCACAAAACATGTTGACTTTTCTTTATCTCTGTTTAACAGTACAGAAAGTAATAACTGTTCGAATAGGTTCTCCAAAAATCCGCGCCTTGTTTTATGAAGCCACCAGAAACTAAATTATAATGTGAATAAACTCAGTGCTTGGACTTTAGAGTGCCTTGCCAATAGAGCGCCAATAATCACACAATTTGCCCAATGAATCTGTTGATAATTAACACCGTAGGCGCCTAATTTTCATGCCTGAAACGATGGATTGACGTATTGATGGAGAGGTTCTTTCGGTAACTCACTCCGATTAAGTCGTCTGCTGTCAATGGGTCCATCTTTGCCGGCCTCTTATGAATAAGTATTGAATTTCATTCACCGAGAGCCGCGGGACATCGTGTAAACAGTTGTGGAGTGCTGTCTACGTGCCATTCACAGTGGAGCGTTTCCAGCTGTTTTACTGCGCTCGGACTCTCATAGTTGCCGTCAACAGCTATTTTTTCCTCCCCAGAGCCGAGGGTCCTCATCGCACTGCACTCGCTTGGACTTGATTCAAACTTCAGTGCATCCTAGAGTAATATTCTTCTCTTCTAGGAGAACAAGAAGCATTCCCAAGTAGTCCCAAAAATTGGGATACATAGCAATTTTATCGGCGATAAAATCGCTAGGATCATCAACATCTGAGGGATTATCCTCGATCTTATCGGGATAAAATCGCGCTTTTATCGCCCGGCAATTTATCGCGATATTTTCGAAATAAAAATTGCGATGAATGTCAATTTTATCGACTAAAATTGATCGCGATTTTATCGAACCAAAAATTGCGATGTGTAGCGATTTAATCGCCATGTCTATCCGCTTTCGCTTCCACTCAAAATGATAACTCTAAAAAGGTACAATTTAACCAGAGTCAGCATAACTACATCAGTAGGCTGATAATTGAAATTATCAGACGAAGCGATAGCAGGTGCACGGCTCTATCGGTATAACTCATGAAAGACCTCATAGTTAATCCATCTTTTTCCTACTCAGTCTAAAACAACCACTCGTTTAAACCAACAGGATCATCCCATTTTTCATTTGTCTTCTTTGTCTATCGATCTCAGATCAGCCCGAAGACTTTAATTCATTCCTTTTTATATTGTATGCTTATATGAGGACACACAACCAACATTCTGATTTGAAATTT